AAAACCCAAAACCCAAAACCCATTCCAGGAGCGCAACTCCGAGTTCTGCGAGGCCACCGATCCCGCCGGCAACCTCGAGTCCAACAGCTCGGCTGGGCATAAGGCCCCACACAAATATAGGGGTTAGGGTTTAGGGGGTTCAGAGGGTTTAGGGTTTAGGGGGTTTAGAGGGTTTAGGGTTTAGGGGGTCTAGAGGGTTTACTGTTTAGGGGGTTTAGAAGGTTTAGGGTTTATGGGGTTTACGGTTCAGGGTTTAGGGGGCTTAGGAATTAGGGGTTGGGGCTTAGGGTTTAGGGTTTGGGGCCTATGTACGGGTTATATGGGAGATTGTGATTGTGGGCTTCGATAGGATATTACAGGGTTGTACCGGGGCTGAATAGGTGGGAAACATGGGGTCATTAATATAGAGGGTTACAAAGGGCGTATGTCGGGTTTTGTAGCTGTCTTCGTAAGGTTATTATGGCAATATATATATATATGTATATACATATTATATATACATATTTGTATAGGGTATCTCGGGCTATGTAAGGATTGGGGACGCCATGGGGTAGAATAGAAATGGAATGGAAACCAATGTATTGGTTCGACTTGGGGTTGACCAAGCTTTGGCCCATCATGTGGGACTATATAGGGTTTAGGCTTTAGGGTTTAGAGTTTAGAGTTAGGATTTAGGGTTTAGGATTTGGGGTTTAGGGATACTGAGGAATATTACCCGAATAATGAAGGCTCAAATGGGAAACCAAATGGAAAATGCAATGGACATTAGTGCAGTTCAATGTATATGCAAGGATATGGGGCATGAGGTCAATGATGTAATCATCAGCTCCTCGAGCTTCATACTTCGGCTGTTGCAATACATGACACCCCCGAAGGGTTGAATTGCGCTACTCTTTAGATGATCCACTTCCTTTACAAAGCCTGTGGGCACCGGTATGTTGCGAAGCCCTGAGTCAGGAGTATCAAGACCGACTCCGGGCCATTGCGCTCCGCAAGGCTCGCCTGGGGTTCAGGCAATGAAGGAAAGGAAAAGAGTATGGATATGGAAACTAGTCTTCGAGCCTGTATGAGGATCGTGATAGGTATCCTCTGCAACTTCTCCAGTCCCGACACACAACCAGTACAGTAGGAACAAAGTTAGCGTGCAAAAAGTGGCCAATGCAGATCCAAACTGGGTCCCCACTTATCCGTAGTTAGTCCACAAACAGCCAGCGTTGGGGCGGAGGAGGGCTTCGAGAAGGCCGAGATAGCAGAGGCCATCGGCCGACCCCAGAAGTTTGTGCAGACCTGGTGGCGAAAAGAGTGCCTTTGCCGAAGCGGGATTTCACCGTTATGGCTTCTCGAGAAATTCCGTCAGTGTTCTGGAGGGATCCTTGGTGGTTTCTTGGTTAAGGCTGGCAGAAAGCGCCCCGTGCTTCGGCAGCTGACCTGTTAGAGTTTCATCTCAGATAAATCCGGGTGGGTCACAGAAGCTTTCATAAGACTTGCCTTGGGGTACCAAACGCTATAATCCTCATTGTAGGGACGCCCAAAATTGTACCCCTGACTTTGTGAACGCCTAAAGCCTAAACCCTAGACCTTAAATAGTAGCTTCCATCTTCTATTCCATGATCCCTATATCCCCCCTATATACCTATATGAAACCCTAAACCCTAAACCATATATACATATATATATACATATATATATATATGTATATCATTGAGGCTATCAGGGCCTAGGCGGCGCAGGGAGATGCACCCACCGCATGTCCCTCTCGCAGCCTCTCAGCAATTCAATCCCCCTTGCAGAGCGGTTGCACTAAGGAATAGTAACAGAAGTACTACTACTAACATCAATGGTGATTTAGGGGCTTAGGGTCTAGGGTTTAGGGTTTTAGGGTTGGTTATAGTCATAGTAGTAGTACTGACAGTAATAGTGACATGTTTGCAGGGGTTATTCTTGTAGGGTTCAAACGTTTGCTGACTGCAGGCCCAAAGAGGTGCCAAAACCAGCAGGGGCAACTTGGCAATCCATAGGGCCAGAGGGATTACAGGAGCCTGCGGATTACGTTTCATTTTCCGTTTGATTCTCCATTTTTGCGGTACCATCCCCATGCATTACCTAAGTTCCCTGGTAGCAGGTTAGGGTTGTAAGGTTGGGGCGGAAGTCAAAGGTTCTTCCACAGCAAGAGTGCGCAAAGTAATCCGATTGCTATTTGACACGTCAAGACTAGAAGGAGCTGGGAATGCCTTTGAAGAGCTACAGAAAAAGCATCTTGAGATAACCCAACTTCCCGGAATTCTGTTTGGAAAGTCCAGGTGTCCTTAAGCTTAGTTTACTAAAGGAGCTCAACTGAGCTAGAGTCTACGCTCCTAGTTTTCAACTTCAATAAGCCCTTGTATAGAAACAAAGAGGGATGTGCAGGGACATTCCCCATGACTTGCTTGGTCGTGTCCTGAGGGTAAACTTGATATCCTTAGTTTTATCCCTGCATTTTCTGACTCTGTGGAGTGGGCCTGCTGAGAGAAAAGCGGAGAGTCAAATGGTACAAACATGGAAAACGAAGAGTGGAAGCTGGGACTATAAAGGAGTTTGAAACAATATGAGCAATAGTCTAAAAACTCCTTAAAGGGGGTTATATAGGGGATCATATATGGGACTACTATCGGGGTGTTTAAGGGGGATACTAGGAGTTTAGACTATGGCTCATATTATGTGTTTTGCAATTTCTCTCCGCTCCCCTAAACCTGCACCCTAAACCCAAAACCTTTAATCGAGCTTTGAGGGCGTGACCATTTGGTCAGTTTCTTACCGGTTCTCAGTAGGGAATATATTCCCCATATCATCCCTATATAATTTATTCCCTGATTCCCTACTAGGAAAAAGTAAGGTTGTAAGCAGGGAAGGGAGGCATGGAGTAGCCCTCACATAGGGTTCAGGGTTTAGGGTTTAGGCCACATAAATGGGTTGCTGTTACGGAAGTTTTGTTAAGGGTTTAGGGTTTAATCCATTTTTAAAGCCTCTTCATTCCGCACTAATAACCAGTAAGTTATGCAGGCTCATGTTTCTTACTGACTAAGTCTAGGCTTCACCTTGCAGTCTTCGCATGCCATGGTTATGGTCAAATATCATTACCTCCTACCATAACCGTTCACCTTCTTGTACCTACTGCTTCTTAGTAGGCAGTAAGGGAGTACAATCCCTATACAATGTATTCCCGTATTCCCTACTAAGAACCAGTAAGCATACCCACTTCCTGTGCGTTATGGACTCTTGGAGGGATTGTTCTGATGAAGCTTATGCCAAAGCAAGGTTCATGACTATCTCCGAACGGACTTCTGGCGCGACATCGAAATAATCCGTGGCTTTGGCAAAGGTGGGGGCTTAAACAGAACTGCAATTTTTTTCTGTAAAGGGTTGGATTTCCTGATCTGAAAGCTCAGCCCTTCATGGCTAAAGCGCAAATCCGACATGGTCCAACAAGCGCCCAAGCGCTTGGCCGTCAGCACATCTACGGTACCTCTGCTGCCAGGCGGCCTCGCACCTGCTCTTTTATACCGAAGCATCCCAAAGCCATAGGCTTGACTCAGACGCCAGCAGGTCAGAGAATCTACGACGATGCGCTGACCAGCATGGACTGGGTCCAGCCGATGGCTGATGGCCGCGAGTTCAAGAATGGAGGTGCGGTATATGTAGCCATGCTGGGGCTTGGGGTGTTTTTTGTAACCGTAGTCTTGTTGGTTTTGGGCTGTGCCCTTTGGAGTATCCCAAGCCTTATGGCCATGCGTTACGGGCAAAAGTGTGTTCGGAGGCAGGTTCGGCGCCGCGGTTTGGGGTGTAGGAGTTGCCGAGATTTTCACAAAAATTCGCCCTGAAACTTGTGAGCAAACTTGTGGGGTAATGTGACATAATATGAGCTAGAGTCTAAAATCCTTAAGCGGGATCATATAGGGGATTATATAGGGCAGTATTACAGGGGTTATTACGGGGGGATACTAGGAGTTTAGCCTATAGCCCATCTGTCTTCTCAGACAGCACGACTGATCGATAAAGGTTTGTCTGCTTTATGTGGCATGCTACTTGCAGTGGATGTGGCAGAATGTATGGCTTGTAAATGTTTGGCAATGAGCCAGTGAGTTGCTGCCAGTTCGTTTGTTTCGATCGAGCACTGCTGGCCCGGTCTGTAGGTTTGCAGGTTCATGGCTTTCCGGATCCGGAAAAGCTAGGATGAGGGTTCTGTTTCACACTGCCGCCTCAGGGAAGAATTTGGTGCACCCTCTAGGTTTTGTGGGGATTGATGAGCTGGGCAGTCAGTCATTGCAGATGTTGAACCCATTGCGGTTCTTCATGGAGTCTGTGATTGCGTATGGTGGCTCCTGCACAGCTGCCATTGCTTGGAGAATCTCTGCGATCTGCACCCTAAGCAATCCATCGCTTAACCTAAAGTCCCGAGATAATGGGCTTCAAATGTCTAAGCTTCAACACCCAAAGTCTAAGCGTTCCCGGCCATTTTGAATCCCCAAGCTGTGATGAGGCGGTTACCGTCTGAAGTACGATAAAGAGGGCCGCATGCGGCCCCAGGGCAATCAGCACGCGCCAGGTCCCCAGCTGAGTCGTAGGTTTATGAGGGAGCGTCGGGTCCCGAATAAAGCGTAAGACTCTGTTTGCCAACGCCACAGGTTACGAGTGGAGAGAATTGCCACGATGATCTTACTTGGGTTCAACTGCCTAAACTCCAAGTGATGAATGGTTGGTCGCTCAAATTTCTGCTGCCCTCCACCCGATCCTTCTCCAGACTTTCTAGGATCCCTCAAGGGGCATTCAATACCCCCTGTATATCCCAATATAGCCTTCAGATATAGTAGTTTCCATTTTGTTTTCCATTATCACTATATACTATAGACTAATCCCTGTATAATCCTGTATAATCCCGATATATTCCCTGTTGATCCCTGTAGAAAAGCCTTTATAGTCCTTTATCATAGGTCTCGAAGATTGTATGCAATCTTCCTTTAATCCCAATTTCATCCATGTACATTCCCTGTATATTCCCTACATAAATCCTATATGATCCCTATATTGCCTTAGATAACCCTAAATAATCATCCTTATGTTACAACCGCTATATCGGCCCTTTTCAGTACTTTATTTAATTATGTATTATTCTATATGGTTCCTATTTAATCAAATCAGTTGGCCAGATTTCGTTATTTTCTTTTCCCCACGGCACACGGAGGGATTTTTGAAGGATTTTGAGGTTCCCAAGACCACCTCCGAAAGCATCATGAGCGCAATTGCCCATCCAAGTCGGGGCAGCAAATTTGCCAGGGTTGAGAGGGTGCTGGAAGCGGAGTATGCTGATAATCCTCATGCAACCCCATAAAATACAATCCCAACAAAACTCCAACATAATGCTCATATAACCCTTATACAGCCCTCATATAATCCCTATATTGTCCTATTTAATCCTTGAACAGTCCCTATATAATCCCTATCAAACCCTTTTTCCCCCCCAAATAGCCTATACGATTACTATATAGCCCATATCGGATTTAGCAAAATGAACATAAGCCCGATATAACCCCATAAAAAATCCTATATGTAATTCTCGACAATTCCCTATAGCCCGCTTTAATCCCTATGTACCCCCCTATAACCCACAACAATTTTTAAAAAGCCCTTATATAACCCGTGCATGTAATTGATCTTTACAGAATCCTTTTATATCCTCTCAATATAATCCTTATACAATCCTCTATGATCCCTATAGAAACCGGCTATAATCCTTATATATATATAATTCTTATACAATCCCTATCTAAGACAACAATGTAGTCCCGATATGATTCCTATAGAATCCATATATAACCCCTATATAATCTTATATGGCCCCTATTATATGATCCCTTTACATGCGCTTTATATGCCTTATATAGTTCCTATATGATCCCTGTATAAACCCAAGATAATTCCCAGATCGCCCGATACAAACTCTTTATAGTCCTTCTATAATGATTTATTATCCCTATATAACCCATACAGAATACCTATGTAGTCCTAACAGAATCTCTAGATATCTCACCTAGGATGATTGCTGGTTATATGGGCTTTATGCGGATGTCATCGCCGGCTTTTGGGTTTAGGGTTTAGGGTTTATGCACATTAGCCGTGGAGAGGTGAATGGAAAACGACATGCAAACAGGGTGTATGGAGAGGGTTTTGTCCAGGTCCTTATTTCATGGGGGTGTGTTCAGACTTTGCGCCTTGATAAGGGTGCACGAATTCCGATGCATTGCTTACGGTGTTTTCAAATGACGCCTTTGTGCTTTTGCAGGGAGCTGTGCCGGAAGCGTACGTAGTTGAGCATTGCCTCTGCTCAATCCAAGATTCTGTTGCGAATCATATTTGTGTCTCATGATGGAATCAGCATATGTGATTTGTTGTGTTTGATGCCACCCAATGCCAAAACCCAACCTCAAACTCCATACTCCCAATCCTGAGACTCAATCCAAAGAAATCCAAGGAAAGACGGCGTAATCCCGGGCAAGCTGCCTGAGCTGGACAAGCTGATGCAGCGAGTCATGGTTGAGCAGGGCATTGATGATCGCGTGCTGAAGAGGTGCCAGACAGGATACGGGTCAAGTTTATCAGGATGTCTTGTGTTCGTCATGGCCATGTAGATACATCTCCTCCGAATCATGCAGCCTGTGCTTTCAATGTCCAAGTTGTTTTTGCGGTTTTTGCAGTGTTCCTTGGGGCCTTGGGCCCGTGGCTGCGAAGGCTCCCAAGATGCTAGACAGGTTTCCGGCTTTTCTGATTTCACACGAAGAGCGTTGTTTGGGATGTTGAGTAATTCTGGCCGGTCTTTCCAGACTTGACGGGAGACCGAACGAAAGAATGGGGTGATCAAGCCACGGCACCGAATTCGCAGAAATTCATATGTGGTCTATGATATGAGCTATAGTCTAAACTCCCTAAAGGCAGTTATATAAGGACCATTATAGGGGTTTTTTAAGGGGGAATCATGTAGGGAATGTTTGCAGGCGGATTGCGGCCGGACTTTTTTGATCATTTGGGCTGGGCATCTTGTATAGACTTGGGAATCAGGACTCCAGAGAGAACGAAGAGGGCCAGTGAAAAGGAAGGTGAGGCGTGTTACTTGGAGAGTTGGGGGACTTAGTGAGCACGTTAATGACCCTTATAATTAAGCCATATAGTACCCGAAGCTATCCCATCATCAACCTACTTTGTAACCCCGCCGGACCTTCCAAGTAGGGATATCACCTCTATATTTAAAATCGCACCCTAAGTAACCCTAACATATATACACCCTATTATAACCCACATATCTTATTTAGATGCCTACATAGATATACACCCTATTCTAACCTTTATATAACCTACAACACCCCCTTGTAGTAACTTAGCAGAATTTCCCTTCGCCAGGCCTGGCCTGCTTTGGTATCCGGATGGCAACGCAGACGCCATCGTGCACCGGCACGAGGCACGTTTAGGGTGCAGGGTTTAGGGGGTATAGGGGTTTAAGGGTTCAGGGTTTAGGGCTTGGGAATTTGGGAGTTTACCGCTTAGGAGTTTAGGGGTTTTCCTGAAAGAGGGTGCGAGTTCCCTTTGGACAAGCTGTGCGGTCATTGGGCCAAGAGGAACGGCTCCTTGCATGCGGCATCTTGGAGCTGAACAGATTCTGTTGTTAGCGTGACCCCCAGAAGTTGTAGACTGTCAGCGCTTTGTGTCTGTGAGCCGCCATTTCTCCACTCTTGACTACGCCTTGGACTTGCGCAGTACGGTAGCTCCAACATTCATTTGGGTACTTGACGACAGTATGTCCCAAGCTGAGAAACCAGGTCTGCCTGTTGCACGCCAACACCTCTGCTCAAGAGAAATGAATTCCAGCTCGGCGTGTCGGCTGTCAGGCATGGACAGCGCTGATGTCGTTCGGATCGCCCCGGATCCTGACCATTGAGCCTTGGCTCAGACTCATTTTCAGCAAGATTCTTCTGATGGCTGGCTAGCATTGGATCTGATCAACTCCTAACCCTTAACACTCAAACCTGTAAACCCTAAACTGCAGGTTCGGTAAGAGACTTCTTTGGGGTTTCCCAAAATTAGGGATGCCATTTTGGAGGTTTCCATAACAAGGACTATGGTATTTGAGGGACTATATTGGGGTCCCTGTATTTTTGGAAATTACCATATAAACCTACTACACCCAGAGTAGGATGGCCACCCTGTGCTCCTTCGCGATGGAGACCTCATCATCTTCGGCACGCAGCGCCACGGTGTGCCGAAGATGTGCACCGAAGGCGCTGTCTCGCAGTGTTGGAGTCGGGATATGACCCGTTCGGGGAGGAGGGTTTTTGTGGGTTGGCATACGGAAGTCCATCCAGCTGTCTAGGGAAATTTAAGGAAGTCATCGTCATGATTACTACGCGTAGAAGCAACCTTCACCATCATATTAGCACAGCATGCATAGAAATCTTAGAAGCTCTCCAATAAGCTGCTGGCAGCAAACATACCCCACCCTTCAAACAAAGCCCTACACCCGAACTTTCAATCCTCAACTGAAAGCCTAAGCTTCAACTTTAGATATGCCCTCAACCCTGAACTTCCGCCCCAAATGAACCCTGAACCCTCAATTTCAACTTGAAAAAATCCTGGGCAGGCTCCACTTTTGGGGACTACGGAGGCCGCATGTCGGTGGTCATGTTCTTCATGCCCACCGGCCAACAAGCCACAGGCTCCCAGGACCTAGGGATACATTCGGGGTTTACTGGGTTTTGGGGCTACGGGTAAAGGCTTTTTAAGGTTTGGGGTTGGGGTCTGGCAGGTCAGTATTTAGGTCACGTTCAGGGTTTAGGGTTGAGGGCTAGGGTGCGGGGTTGAGCTTACAATGATAAGTATGTATGCTTCTAAGTACCGCCCAATACCAGTGATGGTTTTGTGCACATCGTTTCCATCTCTGTATTTGACACCTGACATGAGCCGTGGGCTTCCTGATGCAGGGGCAACATGCAGAACAAAGCACATCAGCGCTTGCTATAGGTCACGCTCAATACCTCTCGCTTGTTCTAATGGTTCAGTAAGTTCCGCAGGATGCTTATTGTCGTTGAACGAACTGCAGAAAACTCCAATCTAAATAGGTGCAGCGCCGTGGAAAGCCATCCACGACTCCGGGCCGTCGCGCAAGGTGGCTTGAATGGATCCCCCCTAGTAGTGCCCATTACGTCTGCCTTCCGTTTGCAGCCAGGCATGCGCACAAGCAAAACGACTTCTCTCGTAAGGTCCATGGAGTTGACATGCAATTTGCAGCCGTACAGGAAAGGCTCTGACTTTCACAATGAGGGTGATTTTACGGAAAATTCTGGTTCGGAACTTCGCGCACAGGAAGGAAGGTCTCGGCAGAAATTGAGTTCTGCGAAGCTTGCACTTAACAATCATTGGACACCTCTGAACGTGACAGTTTCCCAACATGATCCCTATATGATCTGTTGACAATATATACCCAAGTATACTATACTAGTTTCCATTTTCTCTTCCGTTATTCCCAATGTAACCCCAATATATTCCAGTTTAGTAGTTTCCATTTTCTTTTTCATTAGCTCTATGCTCCCGTGATCATCCCATCCTCACCGTAAGCACCCCAGGGTTGCTCAGGGCACACCCATATCAACAAAGTGGGGTTGCTGTTAAGGAACTTGAATTAAGTCACCATCTTACGGGTCCACAGTGAAAGAAGGGGTTTCCTTATTCTAGTAACTTAAGTTAACTAAGTCCCCGTAGCAGCAACCCGCAAGTCCCCCGAAGGGGAGATGTGGATGGCTGAGAGCCGCAGGCAACCGCCATGCTCCGAGACGCAGACCTGGGCCACAATGCACAGGCGCTGGCTTTTAGGGGTTATAGGCTTTAGGGACAGTACCTCAACAATGCAGAATCAAATGCAGAAGAACATTGAACATGAAATGGAAACTAGGTTCATGAGGGTTTTGGGGTCTACAATAGTCATGGGGATACCAAAGTCCCGTGTATGGAGAGTAACATGAGCTCATTTTTTGGAGAGAAACTTTTTATCATTTGCAAAGCAATATTCATGTGAGCTGTTCAGAAGATTTTCCGTGTGAGGTTGAAGGGGAACCTTGACAATCCTTCTGTGGTGCCTGCACGGCATCCGTAAGAGTACCACTGTTCTGAGCTATAGGCCACGTTCCTACTGAGCGCATCCTACCTTCTACGAAGATAGTGAGTTGGGTATGAAGGGGTCACATATACAGTTTGCCTTGATCCTGGAATCTTAAGCCAGAAGCATGGTGTACAGCATCGGCATCGTTCAGGGAATGACCGGGAAGTTGAAACCTATCGATCTAGTTGCTCAAGGTGATGGCATGCATAGATGCACATGTTTCAGCATAGATTTTGAGCGGGTCTTGAGGTACATACTGTGATAGAAGGGGGAGTACGTCGGAGAGTAGTATCAACCATTCCAGTTCCCGTCCCGCATCAGTAGCTCTGAACGCAAATTTCCTCAAGTTTGGGCCCAAAACCGTTGACTGATCCTTGCACTCTAGAACCAACAAATTACAAACTCCCACCACCTTGAACACCCCCATAAGGCCGGAACCCCAAAAAGTTCTTGAACGCGAAGGTGGCAGGCCTCTTGTCCGGGGAGCGGGCGTCTGAGATGCAGCAGCTCATGGACATTGGCTTTGATGCCCCGGAGGCTGTGGGCAACAGGGTGTGGATGTATACAGGACTTAGGATCACAGCTGTTAGGATGTCAGTGTACTTGGGTCAGAGGGTATGTCGAAGCTTAGGTGCAAGTTAAGGGGGGTAGTGAATGGAAGGGTATCAAGTGGGGTGGGAGTGGTCTAGCAGTCTATCTTGAGGAGAAAAATCAAGATGAAGGACAGCTGGGGGACATGATGAGGTTCTACTTGAATGGCCGAGCATAGGTGACACGCCCAGTATGTGCCCATGGCCCGTTGCACGCGAGATCTTCTTGCACTGTGGTCTTCTTGTAGGCGTCGGCTCTTGTAATCCTCAATCTTCTTTGTGCCGCAGCCCTCATTCCTGCACAACAAGTCCCCAACCCAAGGCCCTAAATGCGGAACCTCGTACCGGTAGCCCTGTCCCGAAAATCTTGAACCTGGAGCTCTGGCACCATCAAGGACGTCTTCCACAAGTTTCCGGCTTCATTAGCAGCAAGCTAAATTCCTTCGCTCTGGATGTGGAATTAGGACCACAGGAGGGTCCCCCCAAATTTCTAAATGCTCCTAGATCATCTCCTGTCGGGTCTCTTTGAAGCCCACAAGCAGTGGTCCAGCTCAGAAAGGCTAACTCGATCTTCAGGCAGGGTACCAGAACCATCAAACCGAACCATGCTCCTCAAAAACCCATGAAAACCTAGCCTCTTTCCAGGTCCCTTCAGTCATGGGGAGAGCCCCAGGTTGCTTTAAGAACATGGAGGGGGAGTATCTGGGTTGCTGCTAAGGAACTTAATTTAAGTTACTATACTGGGGAAACCCTATTATTTACTATATATACACATTATGGTAACTTTGTTCAAGTTCCTGAACAGCAACCCAGTTATTGGACCTTATCAGGAGAGGGATCTGAAGGAATTTTAAGCCGTAGGCCTGAAACCCTGAGCTCAAGCCCCCAAAAACTCTAAAAACTCATGTCCCATCAATATGCCTTATTATATGGATAGTGCCAAAGCTTAGGGTCCCATAGTAGGTGCTGTAATAAGATCTATAGCCAAAAGGGCACCGTTTTTTGAGAACAACCCATATCCCATATCTCATTTAGCTCTTTGTGCTGGTTGAGCTCTCCAAGCCCTGAACCTGGCATACTGCCCCCACGCCTTAACAGTAGGAGAATCTTTCGAATATAATTATGCAAGCACACGCAGCCCTTGTTATTACCCCAGTTGTAGTTTGTGAATAGGTGCGAGCAGAGCCGAACCGTAACCTCAAACCTTAAACCCTACACGCGAAACCTCAAACCCTCAACCATTTTCTTTTCCATTATCCCCTATATATTCCCTACATATCCCTAAATTACCCCTATGTACTGTAAGTCGCAGGCGGCGAACGCCTTAAGTGCCGCTGGCTTCGACGTAGCCATGGCCGTGGAGATGCTGCTGAATCGCTCCTCACATGACATTGGCAAAGGAGTATAGCCCCCCTTAAGTAGCTAGAATTTGGCTTTGGATATATTATAATGAGATCACCACATACCCCACGTTCTAGCTACTTAAGGAGGTCTATAGCCTTTTGCTGGCTTGGAGTTTTCCGCCTGTTGGGGTGAAAGGGGGGGAGGGGGTTTGGAATTTCGGGGGGTTCTTGGTCATTTACCTACAAGAGCAGAAACGCCTGCAACATTGCTATCATAGTCATGGGATCACTTTTTGGGGTTGCCAAGGCTTAGCTCTCATAATTAGGCGTTTGTGATTGAGGGGCTTAGGTTTGAGGAGGTCGGGCCGAGGATTCAAAACAGCAAGAACAGTAATATTAGTAAACATAGCATTCCTGATGATAATAATAGTAATAATCATAGGAATAGTAGTAATATTTGTAAGAAATAGCAATGATGATTGAAATTATATTAGTACTCCTAGTACAAATACTCATAGTTGTAGCGGCTTTGGTTTTGCAAATTGGGACTTTGAGATTTGGGGCTTGGGCTTAGGTTGCCTTTTTTTTTGCATTGTTGTTGGCTAGCTAGGGTTACGGGATTGGTGGAAGCCACTCCTTATCATTTTGGAAACCTGTCATCACCATAGCTGTCCTAGGTGTATCCTCGCTGAAAACAGGTCTTTGTGCTCTTACACTAGCTTTCCCTATATAGTCGTAAAAACAGTATTAAAGGATGTTATTACATTTTTCCTTCTATAATAATAGCAATTTTAACGGATGGTAAGAATAGTAAAAGTGGTGAATAGTCATATTTAAAAGCTCTGCATCTGAGGAAGTGTGCCCTTGTTGGCAGACAGCTGTGATGCTTGCATTGACAGGCGCTGCTGCCTGAAGTGGAACTAGGTACTGAGGGTTAAATAGGGTATATACTGGGGTTATGTAGGGGTTATATTGGGATAATGGCAAATAAAACGCAAACTGTTATTTGGGGTGGGATTCGGTGTTGGGTTCAGGGTTTGGGGATTTCGTTCTTAGACATGCCATCTTCCGTGATTTTTTGGATGCCTAATAGCCGGAAGAAGGCAAAGTGTAGGAAGGTTCCTCGGCCTCAAGACATACACAGGAACGCCGAAAGCGTCTGTCAAAATCCCTGGGTTCTGACATCTTAGATGCAAACTTAGGCCGTGGTCTAACACTTTATCCCGCAAACCTAGTTGTCAGTTTGAAAGATTTGCTATGGTTCCCCCCAATGTGCAGCCCCAAAAACAGTCAGACTCTTGTAAGCTTCCAGGAGTTTTTCCAAAACCTTGATTCCCAGATCTAGCTTATTCAAAACATGCGCCATGAGATGGTTTTTAGTACTTGGAGGTTCAGAGGTGGATAGAGCAGCGTGCCTTTCTGTACCTACTATCCTATGCTTCCAAGTTGTCAAGATGTATTGTGTGAGAAGAGCTTGTGCGGGCCCAAATTAAGTTCCGGAATTAAGCCACAGCCTGATTGAATACCATGCGCCCACATGCCTCTCTCACGTTTGAGAAGACACGGATACGTTTTCGAATGCCTAGTTCTTTTTAAATAGAAACCCCAGGCCCGAAGCCCCTATCCTCAAAACTGACCCGTTAACAATCCGAATATACCACTGCAGAGAAGATTTTGCACGACATTTTTGTGTCATTCCCCAACGCCCTTAGCAGGTCCTCGGAGATTGCCGCGCTCCTGAGCCGCTTGGAGGACTGGAAACTCCTGAAAGAATGTAACAGCCAGGTTAGTCATTCATATGATTCCACTATATTGGGCAACGTTCCTTCTTGAGCTGTAGCTCCTAATACCTCACAAAATTATTCGCCTGCAGCAGAGGGCTTTAAGTGCTTTTCTTTGGGAGCCCTTGGCCTCTCCTGGCTCCAAAATTCCGGGCAATTTCAGTCGTTGGAGAAGACACTCCCCTCGGTGAACTGGGCAGTGAAGTTCACCGCTTAAGGTTTAGGATTGCTTCCAAATATGTTGTCACATCGAATATTCTTACGGGCTTACAACGATTCTCGAAAAATTTTTGCGGTTGCATTCTACTAGTAGCAACAATGACAGTAGTACTACTAATAATAGTAGTCATGTAAATAATGGTCCCTTGTGCCTCAAGACTTCAGGCAGGTTTGCGTTTCCTGCAACCCTGGCCCGCCAAAGCTTGAACCCATCATCGACCCCATGTGGAAGCCCAGAGTGCTGAACATCTAGCGCCTCTAATTTTGTGTAATGGCCCTCCTCCCTTCACCTCTTTTGTTAGTATTCTTGTTTCCATCATTTCCATTACTCTTAACATGCCATTGGTATTTCGGTGGACACTATGATAAAGCTTGCAATCCATATACTGAAGCAGCCCAACAGTCTACATTGGAAGGAGATCCAAGCATCGAAATGGGTGCTCCTGCAGGCGTGGGACTTCTTGCAGGGTTCGGGTTTGTCGGATTGGCGTTTCTCTACAAATCCCTACATCATCCCGAATAATCATGTACCATCATAAGCCCTTGGTGATTCTGAATATTCTTACGAGGCTTTTTTTCGAAGTTCAAACGAAAGTAGCCAACTGGGATCTCAGGATATTCCGTTTCCAGATTCCTTAGGGGTTTAAGCTGCTAAACTCTATGGGCTCGCTGGTCCGGTGGACTTCGGTTCGGATTTTGAGCCAGATGTCGGGTGGGTTGAGCTGTCAGCCGGCCACCTTCTTTGTAGCCAATTCAATTGCCACAGACTGAGGTTTTGTTTATAGTTCCATCGGTCTTGGACTCATTCCTGTCCTGCTGGAAAAGAAAATCTCATCTGATGACCGCCCTCCTCAAAGATTCATCCGAACCATGTAATGAAAACTCAGAAAGCCTCCCGTCAGCACCGCGTGAAGAGGAGGGCTCCACTACGGGTGTAGCGGAGCAGGCAGCGAGCACCGACTGGGAGGATCCGCCAGGGGTGTTTCCGTGTTAGCGTTTCGGATTCAGGGTTTAGAGGGACTAAGGTTTGAAGTTTGGGTTTTCTGGAGTTTGGATTTTGGATTTTGGGTTTAAGGTATAGGCGGTTTTGGGTTAGTTGCGGATGTCGGGCTGCACGCTCGAACTGCTCTCAAGGGTTAAACGCGCCTATCTCGCCGTGTGTAGTTATATGATGGATTGGTTTTGGTCAGGTCTTTTGCTTCTGGGTTTGGTGTAGTTCGGGTCTTCAGATGTAGAATGCTGCCTTGAGAGGGTTGTGCACGGGAAAGACAGGCATGATTTACGCCGAGATCCAAACAAGGTTGAATCTGCTGCTGACTGTTCCGGCGTCCGCATCACAGATATTGTGGGAGAACCTTCCTGTCATATTCAATTTTACAAATCTGCAGATTGCCGCTATCCAGTCAGAGTTGCCGCTCCGATGAGGCATGTCGATACCCTTTCCATGGCTCACAAATTCCCGACGAGATCCATATGGCGCATCCGTGAGCCTTCAAGTCCCTAGATCCCAATTGCCTCAACCCGAGTTCCTGAACCTCAAGAGTCCTATAGTCCCCCTTAAGTGGGTGGAAGTTGGAATCCCGAAAGCTACTAAGAGCCCCATATACACCAAATTGTATCTAGGGGACTATACTCTGTCGGTTCTTTGGTTTGCTTCGAAGCTGACTCCATTCTTCCAGGAGACGGCTATCCTTGAACAGCTGGAGGACACCAGAGTTGGAGTTTGGGTGTCTGCAGGCAGGGGTTGAGGTTCTCAAACATGTGTGCCCTTGGGGGACCCAGAGTCTTGGGATGTGGGTCATGGGTCAGGGTCAAGGAAATTTCCCAGCCTGTTGTGCATTTTTTTGGTGAAGGTAGCTGGAAATTCGTGGAATTTCCTGACAAAGTATTCAGTGAGCCGTGCTTGTGCAACGTCTTAGGTTGTGACAGGCCCCGTGGTCCGTTTGTTGGTCTCAACGCACGGTTGCTCGGAAAGTGGTCTTGCACTTCATATCACTGTTGAATTGTACACAAGCTGAGATTACCGCCGTGAGCTTTGGGGCTTAATTCGTTCCTGGCGCATGCTCTGATATGCGAAGGTGTTGCACGAAACGTTATCAACTTACGACCTTGGACCTCAAAACAGAGTCCCCAGGCAAGCTGTGCAGTACTCTGCGAGAATTTTGCTCCCAAATCATAGGGATCCTCGCCGCCAGACGACTGCAAGAAGACATTTTTCAGCGTACAATGTTGGGTAGAGAGGTGGTGTCAGGGGATGACAAGGGTCCTCAAGCTCCTAACCTTGCACCTTGAGCGCTTAGTCCCAGCATCAACCAGGAGCTTCAGAAGGACGAGACCGTGGGTACTACCACCCTGGCGGCACAGTTTGCGTTCCCCGGTCCCTCCGTAGTTAAACGTTTGAAAAAGCATGCCGTGTAATCATTCTGAGGGTGATGCATGGATATTATTAGGACTGAACAAGGATTCTGTGAAGGCTTACTGAGGATCGGTTGAGCATGGTGCCAGGCTATAGACAACCTTCCCAGGTGCTCGAATCGAGAGGATGGTGACAACCGCTCCTCATGTCAGGTAGAGCTAGATAAGAAACATTGACATGCTTGATTGCGGTACTCTTACCTTTTTATGTTTGAGAAGTTGCAGCTGCATCGTGGCATAGGATTATTCTGCCCAAAATATCATGCAGCTGAGCTTCGGCTTCTCATGTTGAATCATAGTTCGCTATTCAACTTGCGATTCTTGCGAGTGGCGCTCCAGCGACAGCTGCCCATGCTGCTCGTGTGATTGTCGTGGAAGGAGCCCAGAGCCCAACATGCTAATGTGGGCTTGTGCGCAGCGAAGCGTAGCACTTGAAGCGTCTCATGTTTAGGTGTACAGCTCTCAGTTTGTAATTGCCGGAGCTTGTGGCCCTAACTCTGCCCAGAGTCAGGGCCTGCTAGGTAGGCTAGGCTAGGTGTCAGGTAGCTGCCAGCTTTGATTTGGGAAGTTTGCTGTTCCTTGCTAGGGGAGGTAGGACAGAGGCAGCATGTTTGCGCATCCCGAAATAAAGGTGCTTGCGTGCATGCTCTTTGCATTTTGTGTGTCACGGTGATAGTGGGCTGGAGGGTGGGCAGCTTGTACATGTGAAAACTAGAGACATAAACTTCAACTTTTTATGATCAAGTATGCTGTCTTAAATCAAGGCTCATGTGTCCGTCGTCCTTACAGGTCGTGTGTCCGGCAGTATACAAAGAAGGGACCACCGTGATGTGGAATTCTTGCTTATCAATTTGAGGTCTCGGCAATCCCCACGCAGCTCTAAGGCAGTATGAGGAGATGATCGATGCCGAAGATGCGGAGCAATGGGATGGACGAGGGGATTTGATGCTTTGGCTTTCCTCAGACTGGCAGCAAAGTGAGAACACTCCCAGAGTCAAGATGAAGTTGTGCTGTCCTAAGGGGGCCCCGCATAGACCCTCAAATACTCCTTAGTAGAGGGACCCCCAAAAGGTACCCCTAATTTTGGGAAAGTCCCATGTGTAATATTTGGGGGTTTAAGGCTCCATGGTCCATTTGGGACCCAGGATGGTGCGAGAGTGGCGGCGGCTTCATCTTCACATTGAGCAGTGCCCTGGCTTCATGGGGGTTATAGGGGTTATATAAGGGTATAATGTAGGCTTATATAGGGATAATGAAAAAGAACATGGAAACTACTATGATATAGTATAATGTAGGCTGAAATAGGGATAATGGAAACTATTATGATATAGTATATTGGGGTTGTATAAGGATAATGGAAAAGAAAATGGAAACTACCATATGTGCTACGCTGTGTAGTTTGAGGACAGGCATCAATACTGCAGCCTACAGAGATTGGCATACCAATGCGACCTTAGACTGCAGCTTGCTGGAGCAGAGCATGAGACTTCTCCGTTTCAGGCAGGACCCATCCACATCCTATGCCCTGGGCTGCGGAGCCCTCACGGAGAGGCGGTTGGCCTTGGAAGAAAGGTTGATCCTAGGCAGTTTTGAAGATGAGGATGCTTTTACGTGGCATTATTGTTTGAGGCCTTCAGAGTTTGGGGTTCGAAGGGTTAGAGTTGAGGGTACGGGTGCTTCAGATGGATTACATACTCGTATCAGTCCTCTAAGCTGTGTCGCTGGTAGTCGTCAGGACAGGCCAGCACTGCTAGTACCATAACAATGATCGTGATGAATACTACATGTACCGCACCATCTGCGCAAGTCCTGGCAAGGCGCTTAGCACGACAAGTCCTTGCTTGTTAGCACTGTGATCATTGCTCCTACAGGTACTGGTGCTAGTGATGGGTGGTTGTTGGAGTGTGGACACAAAAAGGTAACTCTTCATGGACAGCCCGTCATCTTTGGGGGTAGCACTTTTGGGTATCTCCAACAACAAGGGCCCCCGCATATATGTCTTCAACCCACGTAGCTTTGTTTTAAAGAGCTGTGTAGTGTTTCTCACGGGGAGCTCATGAGCCTGGCCAGTAAATCCCAAATCCTTTAACCATAACCCGCACCCTAAACCCCTCCGAGAAACTTCAAAACCTAAATCCTAGAACATAAGCCACTCCGCACCCCCAATCCCTTAACAACTGCTCTAAACCCCATCCCTAGAGGTCCTTCTTCGAGCTCCTCTCCCTGCATTCCATCCGGGTGCTCTACGACTTTCGCAGCTTGGCGAACGTGGGGAAATGCAGCCGAAACACCCTCTCTTAAAGCAAGCGTAGGGGCTGTACAGAGCACGTAGTATGT